AATTAATATTGTGAAAATATGTTAATTTTTAATTTATATAAAAATATTATAATTGTTCTATTATTTAATATCAGTTTTTTATATGAAATATTTATTAATAATTTTGCATAGTAATGATTATATACTTTAGTTAGGGATTTTTTTTTCTAAATGTTTTGATATATATTTCTGTCAAATTTTATTCATTTTCATTTGATATAATTTTTAGATAATGTATAAATCATCTGTAATTTAATGTAAATATTATATGAAATTATTAAAAAAAGTAAAAAATATATTATTGGTTATAATTATGTTACGTTAGCATTATTAATTTTTACTAATTCTTCATATAATATTTAGAATTGAGTTAACGTTATCACAATACATAACTTATTTCATTTTTCATTTTTTAAATTAAAAATATTAAAATAATATTATTTAAATAGTTTTACATCTTAATAGAAGCTACAGTAATTTAATAAAAATTAACATTTACATGAATAATTCTAACTGAAAAAAAATATATAGTTTCATTATATATTATAATTTTTGATATAAATTGATATTATTTCCTTAAATTTTTATATTATTTGAAAAATTTTTATTAATGCATTAGGAATTAATTAATTCTATAAAAGTATTATTCAATCAATATTGAAGTATTTTATGCTATATATTTATATCCAATTATATGGTTTTATTTAAATAATTATGTAACAATCCCATAAGATAAAAAATTATATTTTTAAAATGTATAAATAAATTATATATAAAAAATATGAACACATTTTTATAAAAAAACAAAAAACTAATCCTATGCCAGCGTTAAATGTTATATAGCATTTGCATGTTCTACGTCATATATATATATTAAAATAAATAATCTTACAGGTTATATTACCTTTTGTAATAATATATCGAAATTATTGTGAACTATAAAGATAAACCAGAAATGTAAAAGTGTACTCAAAGGAATGTGCGTTATTAAAATTATATTTTTATTCTTATTGTTTAAACTTTTTTCACAAGAGTAAGAGTTATAAGAGAAAAATAAACGGAAAAATATGATATAACGAATCTATAAGGATCTAATCAATATTTATATAACATATACATATATTTTCATTTCTCACTTTGTATTTATATTATATATATTCCATTTTATATAAGCAAAGAAGAATTCATTCTTATGAGACTATGGTACATATATAGACAATTAAATGACTCAAAAATATCCCCTCTATTAATACAATTTTTAATAATTAAAGAATAGTTTGTATTTTCTTATTCATGTTATCATTTAAAAAGAAAATAATTTTGTTGAATAAATTTATTTATACTAATATTTAAAAATATATTTCTTATGAGAAATAAATTATTGCATTTCAGTGGGATTCAGTCATGTGTTGACATAGGTGTAATTATATCAATGGATCAGCCTATTATATATGCATAAAATTATCTAAAATATGTATTATATTTATTAAATAAATATTAGTTTTTTTTAGAATATTATGTCTTAGTACTTAATTTAAGTTAACCAACATTGTTGATAATTAATCTAAAGGAATATAATTGCATTATTACGTGGAATATCTAATAATTTATCTTGGGTGATCTTATACGTATATCTTTAGAAATTTATTTTGTGATATGATTCATTTATAAGGTTCTTAATAATGTACATAATTTTTAGGATTTATTTCATCCTTAACAATTATATACAAATATATATTAATTATCGTCTACAACTAATTATTTTTATAATATATTATATGTATTTTTCAATGTCAATAAATTCATATGATTTAATAACACTTTTTTTAAGACTAGTCTACTGAGTTATATAATATATTGTGTTTATTTTGAATAATATTCCTTTGTGACGCTTCAAATAAATTCATTAATCCATAATGTTTTTTATTGTTTCTATTCCACATATTTTTTTAACTTTCTTCTCCTTGGTCGTAAGTATGAACCATAAGCAGTATACTGACAATTAAGAAAAAATATGATATTTTTATGATGAATGCATTAATTAAATATTTATTATAAAATATAATATAAATATTCACTGAATAAACATTTAATTAATTAAATTTATTTTTAACTTTATGCACCATGAATATGAATATTATTATTGCAATAAATATAATACCCGCGTTTGTCCACGTCACTGGAGATGCAGTGTCTCCTAATAATGCTTCTGCTTTGATCGCGTTTTCTGATGGTTTCATCAAGTAATAATTCATTAATTCATTAGTAATTTTGCATGTACCTTCATTTGAAAAATATTCATGAAATATTAGTTTAAAATTATCAATTTCTTCCTGAACAATATTCTTATACTCTTTTTTATCTATTTCTGAAAGCTCCTCATATTTTTTGGCACATTTTTCAACGTAATTGCATTTATCACCTTTTTTTTGTTTTAAGTTTTTAAAATCATCATATAATTTATCAAATATTTCAAATATATCAAATACATCATCATTCATTAATGATACATATTCTTTACATACATCAGGTATTTTTACGCCTATATCTTTGTATGCATTTATCAGTTTTTCGTGAATATCATCGAACGATTCAACAATAGGAATTTTATTTTTTTCTTCACGTTTCAGCTCTTATATATAAAAATTACAATATGGTTTTCTATTATCTTCACTTTTATTTTTTAACTCATGTAGATAAAGAACAAGTTTTTTACATGGTATAGAAAATACATTATTCAATACAGCATGTGGAGTAAATCTTTGATTAATATATTTGCAAAGCTCATGTAATTTAGGATATACGCACCATGAATCATAATTCTTTCAAGAGAATTATAATATGTCTTACATGTGGGAAAAATATCCTTAAAAGATAACTAAAATTGAAATTTGCAGTGCATATAAATGTTTTACATTTATAAGAAATATATTTTTCTTTGATTTTCATAAATAAGACAATTTCAATATATAGTAATATGAATTATATTTTTAATAATATGTATAAACATACTTGAGCTTTAGATACTTGTGTATTATCCATTATATGTTTTATTTAATACGAAAAAAAAATTACATTTATTAATATAATTTATAATGTCTAAAAATAATAGAGTATGTATTATTTATATTACATTTATTATACTTATTAATTTATAAATATAATAAATAATTTGAATTTTTATTTTTATATTTTAAAATATTAAAGTATGAATTATACATATTACATAAAAGTTTAAGTGTTTATATATAGGATTCAATAATAGAATTTCAGAGTTCCTGTTTTAAATATTGCTATTTATGTTTTTTATCTTAATATTGTGGATCAAGTTTTATATATCTCTATATAGTGTTATGAAATGTTTATATAATGTTTCAATATCCGTACATTATGCATTTTGTATTTATTATTTTGGTATTAACATAAAGAGTAAATGCATTCTATAATTTTTCATATTATCATATACAATACTAATAGACATTTCATAATATATATTATTTGTTTTTTATATATAATTCATGTAAATGTTCTTTCAATTAATATTATTATTGATTATAATATAAATATATTTTTAATTTTTACGTAATATGATTCTAGGAATAATATTTGCACGCATAGAATTAATTATTTTTATATTTTATTAAATGATATGTCCCAGTTCATTCTGCGCATATCATATTTATTATACCATTACATTTTGAGTTTTTCATTAAACTCATTTTAATTATTTTTATTTTATTGGAAGAATATATTTTGTTAAATCTTGAAATGATATACGCTTGCACTATTATTGCTAAAATTATTAGGGAAAAAAATAATATGAGTTATTTACATTTACATAATAACATATATGCATTTATGCAAAAATATATGAATGTATGTATATTTTTGTTTATGTAATTCTAAAATATCATTTAATATGAATTAATAAATATATTTATATAATTTTTCTAAACAAATAATATCACTATTTATATATATATATATATATATACACCATTTATTATTTATATATATATTAATTCACTTAATTCGTAAAAAAATCATTGATATACTCTGTAAAAACATGCTAATTTATGGATGAAATATTATTTGAATATCATTATATATTTCATTTATTATATATAGTGATATAAAAAATATATGTAAAAATTTATTATTAAATAATATGGATAATTTACGTCAGGTATGTAATTATTTTGATTTATAGCATGATTGATTTAAAGCATAAATTAACAGTGAAACATAATTTATGCGTACAAAAATATTAGATTTATATAAAGCATTTAAAACTTAAGATAATTAAAAATATTTATTATTTTTTAAAATTTATAATAGTGTTATATTACATACTTTTGATAAAATATGTATCTTGCTATATACTTATTTTTTGTGTGTATCCATGTACACTATGTATATTTTGAATTTATTTATGTGTTTTTAAGAAACAAGTTTTTAATTCATTAATATATCTGGCAAAGAATTCAACAAATAATATTCTATTAAAATTAATATCTTTTTTGAAACATTAATTATTACGTATATTTTTTTATAAAGGAATCATGTATATATAATTTAAATACAATTTTTTTTTATCGTTTTTAAAAACAAAAATATTATGCATGATATTTTATTTTTTATATAAAATAATTCAAAATTCTATAATATCATATATTTAATTTTTTTTGTAACAATAAAGTTTTGAAGTTTTATAATGAGTTACTATGATTTTATTGAATCTATATATATTCGTAGACATGTATTATTGGGATTACATGATATATAAAAGGGACAATATATAAATGTATTAATATATAGTTTGTAATGATTTTCAGATAACAAAATATAAAAAATATGTTCAACTTGATCTCACATGATTATGAGAATCTACAATACAATACATAAAATAAGCTCTTTTTCTATAGCAAGATAATTTTGTATTTTAAAAAAAAGAAGGCAATTTTTTTAAAGATTAAACTTGCTCTATGAAAAAATTTATTTCACATAATAAAAGTATTATATGATTAGATACATTACATAAGGGTCTTAATGATTTAAAACGAGATATAAATAATAATCTTTTATGTTGTCATTTTTATATCTTAAATATTTTCATTAGGATGTAAAATCGATATTTCTTTGGAATTATGAACATATTATTTATTCTCGACTAAATAACGAAATCATATTGGATAAAATATAACGCAAATGCTGATAATATATAATTAAGAACCTTTAAATAATTTTATTCGATATGAATTACAGAGATATTTATTTTGTATTAAACGGTAGACATTTTTATATTCATAATTGTTGTGAATTACTAGATTATAAAGAAAAAGGAAAAACAAATTAAAAATAGTTTGTGCTTATAATTGTGTAAAGATATTTTTAATCAACATTAATAGGCGTGATATAATTATTTATGTCACCGTATATAAGAGCTCATATTTCCTTTATTTATCCGAATCGACAAGGCAAGAAACTTCAGATGAATCTTTAAATATATGTTCTTACACAGCGCTGTCTATAATTTCTTGGTTATTATTTGTTCTTTATTTTAATATATTATTTTTATCATAATTTAATGATTACAATAACAGTTATAACATATACATCTACGTGAACCAAAAGATTTTATTCTTTTATAATATTTGTCACGTTTGTATGTGCACAGTATTAACACATACTTAATGTATGGATATATATATGTTCATACAAATGCTTATATTAATATTATATATATACTTGTCAATACTAGTGCATAAATATATACTGAAATGCTTATTCCTTATTAAATATAACTTTTTTTTTCTTTGATTAATTTTTTTCTACAGTAAATCGAAAAATAACTCTTTTGAAATTCATAGAGCTCATGAATATTACAAATTAAAAGATATATACTTATTAATTCTTTTACGAATTAATAAGATTAACTTAATTGCTTTCATTTATACTTAAATAAGATATACCATATTTTTTTTTTAAGTATATAGAATGAATTTATGATTGATTTTGTGAACTATACGAAGAAAAATATCTAATTTATTTTGTTGAATTAAGATACAATATATTCACATAATAATGTGTGACTTACACAAATCAAAACAATGGTTATGCGCTTATTTATTTATTTATTTATTCTATAAATATATATGTTTATTTATTTTTATCATTTAATAAATTATATAAGATAGAGTGATACATTCATAATTTTGAGAACTATTCTATAAAATACTGAGAATAAAGTAAAAATTAAACAAATATATATATTAGTTTTATAAAAAAAAAAAAATTTATAACATTAATAAGAGTAATAATTCTTAGTTATTATAATAGTTTATTTATACATACATTTTTATCAATAAAATACATACATATTTTTATATTATTTAAAAATTGAGTTATACAAAATATATGTTGAAAAAATACTTCTAATTATTATAAAAAATATATTTATTAAATGATTTAATCTAAAAATGACAATTTTTAAATATAATAAACATTGGTATTATTAATATTATTTAATGGATTTATCATATTATATGTCAAATATGTAATAACTAATATGTTTTGTATTTCTATGCATGCTTCTCATTATTTTCCATGAAAATATTCCATATATATATGTAAATAACATAAGTATTATAGGAATATTTTAATAATATTTCAGCTTTCAATATATGAATACAAGAAAATTTAATTATTTTTACGCTAATTAGAAATTTCCATGCTAGGTAAAAATATATTTCACTGATAATATGAATTGTTTATTATAATATGAATAACAAAATTCACCATTATTTTTATGTACAATATTCATATTTTATACATTAATGTGGTACTTATAATTTGTTTCAGTATTTATATATTTCATTTTTTTATTAGATACATAATTATATTTCTTGTTTTAATTAGTTATAGACGAAAATCTTGAATTTTATAAATATATCTTATGAACACAGTTCATCTAACAAATTTTATCATATCTATTATTAGATTATTATTAATAATAAAAAATAATTATCATTTGTATTTATACATTATTATATGTTTTTACAACATGTTGATCACGAATATTTTTATGTATTATTCGAAAGCATTTAAAAATTTATATTTCCTTTATTATTATGCATTATATAATAATTATAATTTTTTCATTATATTATCATTATATTTAAATATTTATTTCATTTATTTTTCTTTTTATATTTGTTTTTGTAAAATAATAATAATTTTAATTTATTGTTTAAATTGATCTATGTTGAATATTTTAGTAGTAATTATATGTTCTTCATGTGTAGCCTATTGTGGTGCATCCTATTTCATACTTATTATGAAACAATTCATTGTGTCTAAATTCTCGTGAATCTATTATATTGAGATTATCTTTATTTTTTTTATTTCACATTCTCCTTAACTTTCTTACTCCTGGTTGTAAAAATGAGCCAAACGATGTATACAGTTTATATAGGGGCAATTTGATATATATAAGTACTCCTTATTTTTTCTAATTTTACATAATTACTTGAAACGTAAATTTTAAGAATATATATAATGAATTAATCATCTTAATATTTAAACTTATACATGTAGAATGTTATCCTCAATCATGTAAAAATAATAATAATTAAAATTATGATAATAATACGCAATATGAATGATCATGCTAGGAGTTTCATCTGTCTTTTATCTGACAAATATGGCATATACTTTTTAAATTCATCTAAATTTGTATGAATACTATTGTTATATACGCCTTCACTTTTTTCTAATAGTTCAGTTTACGTCCTAAATAAAGTCAAACAAAATTCCCTTATTAGCCAAGACTTAAAAATATTTCATATAATACATTCAGATTGTTCAATACTGAAAGTGAATTATCATCAATGCCTTTATATCCGTAATGCATACATTATTAAATACCTTAATATTCCATTTATTCCTTT